GTTTAGTGTTAACCGGAGTGGGACATGATTTGCATGATGACATGCCTGCTTGCTCAAGAATTTTATCTGCACACTTTTTCTGAGATAAGAACAAACCACCATCATGCCGAGTAACTGCAATACCCAAAAATAATTTAATGGTCCCAAGTCTTTCATAGAAAATTCAGAGTTGAGTCATGATATTATAGATTTGCAAAGATCGTTAGAAGAAGCAGTGAGAATGATGTCGTCCACATAAAGGATAAGATAGGCCATATGTGTATCTTTCTGGTAGATGAAAAGAGAGTTGTCTGACTTGCTTTAAGAGAATCTGATAGAACATACATACTATGCAATTCATTTGTACCAAGCTCTTGGAGCTTGCTTGAGCCCATACAAAGATTTTCACAGATGACATACATATTGAGGATGATTTGGATCCTTAAATCCCAAAGGTTGATGCATATACACTGTTTCTTTGAGTTCACCATGCAGAAAATCATTCTTGACGTCTAACTGATGAATTTTCCATGCTTTAAATAGGGAAATACTGAGTAATATTCAAATGGTGGCTGGTTTAACAACCGGACTGAACGTCTCTCCACAATCTATGACAAACTATTGACCTGCACTGTTACCTACAAGTCGGGCTTTATGCATCTCAAAAGAACCATTAGATTTTTTTATGCCTAAAAATCCACATAGAACGAATAACATTTGCATCAGGTGGACGGGGCACTAAATCCTACATTTTATTTTAAATAAGAGCATTATATTCATCATCCATAGCCATTTTCCAATTTAGGTCTTTTAGTGTTAACACTGGGTTACGAGGGAGAGGAAATTTTGTAACTTTGGTGTGGTGATTGATGTATTTTTTGATTTGGTTTAAAAATTCCATGTTGGCTTCTTGTAACTTGTTTGCTGTCAGAACTAAGGGTAGGTTGGTAAATAGGAGGAAATGGGATACTTGGAGTAGATGTGGAAGGCAAAGTTTGGGCCGGTTGAGAGGTAGCTTGGGTCGGTTCTGATTGATCATGGGTTTGAGATTGTTGATGAGTGATGTGGGCCGGTGTCATTAGATGTGGGTCAGGTTGAGTGATGAGGTGGTTTATGATGTAAGGTGACAATTCATTATCAAGAAATTGATAATTTTTCGGATTAGGATTGTGTAGTTTAGAGAAGGGAAATTCCGATTCATAAAATATGACATGGCGACAAATGATGATTTTATTTTGTGATAAATCATAACATTTGTATCTGCGGTGATTGGAAGGATATCCTAAAAAACACATGGGGTGGATCGAGACTGGACTTTATTTATAGTAGTGGATGGAAAAATAGGGTAACATAAACAACCGAATACATGTAGATGAGAGTATGATGGGTGCTTTTGAAAAAGAATTTTGAGAGGTGATTGATAATTCAACTTTTTATTTGGTAAAATGTTCAACAGATAAGTTGCCATTTGTAAGGCATGGTGCCAAAAGTTTGGAGGTAAAGAAGCATGAACTAGTAAAGTCTGAATTGTATTATTAATAGAACGGATTTTTCATTCAGCTTTGCCATTTTGATATGAAGTATGAGGGCATGAGAGACAAAATGAAATTCCATTTGCTTCACAAAGTTTTTGAAAGCTACTATTAACATATTCTCTACCATTATTGCATTGAATATTTTTAGCTTCTAGTTGAAATTGAGTTTTAATACATGCTCTTAATTTTTCAAAGGTTGGATAAACTTGAGATCTATTTGAAATTGGAAAAGTCCACAAAAAATTCGAATAGTCATCCAAAAAAAGCACATAATATTTATGATGGGAATTACTCAATACGAGAGATGTCCATACATCACTATGTAGTATGTCAAATGGCATGAAAGTAGAATTATGCGAATCAATAAATGACATTTTACCATGTTTACCAAGAGGAAAAGAGGGACAAAAAGTTGAAGTGGACTATAAATTAGGAGTACAATCAATCATTTTATTTTTCTAAGAGAATCTAAAATAGATGCTCATGGATGACCCAAACGGATGTGCCAGACAGAGGTAGATAAAGCTGCAAACATAAAAGAAAAATGTGTTTATTTTTGGTTGTGTTGGTGATGAGATATAGTTGGCCTTGACTCTCACATCTCATTAGAACCATCCCCGTCTGAAGGTCTTTTACAGAAAAATCAAATAGATCAAATTCAACAGAAACATGGTTATCGGCAGCGAATTTACGAACATAAATTAAATTTTTAATCAATTTCAGTGCATGGAAGACATTGGATAAAGTTAATGGAGGGTGTAGAGGTGGTAAGTTAGCATTTCCAAAACCATGAATAGGAGTTGAATGACAATTTCCTACGATAATACTATCATTTTTGCTCAAATTAAAATAAGATGAGAGATTACCTTGTGTGAATGTCATATGAGATGTTGCTCAAGTGTCCATGTACCAAGATGGGTCAGACTAAGCAAGATGGGGAGTGTGAAGAGCAACTTCAATATCTGTTGGGCTTGGCCCAGTTGCAGTAAAGGCAACAGGTTATGGCCTATTTCCAAGGATTCCTGCTTGCTGAGTTTTTGGGCCAGCATTGGGCCTAGGCCAATAAGAAGGAGGAAGTTTTACCTCATACCCCTACACTTGTATCTATACCCCTACATTAAAAAATTTTGGACCAAAATATCCTCGTATAAAATTTATTATTTTTTAATTTTTTATATTTTTTTATTTGTTTACCGGAAGACTTTTTGGAAGTCTTCCGGTTCACATTTTTTTTCGTATGTTTATCGGAAGACTTTTTGGAAGTCTTCCAGTTCATATTTTTTCGTTTGTTTACCGGAAGACTTTTTAGAAGTCTTCCGGTTCATTTTTTTTTTAATTTGTAATTAATATTTAAGATTTATTAACTTTATATAAAGACCAATTTAGTGAATTTTTGAATATTATACTTAAAATATAAAAATTCTATAAATAGAGAATTATTTTCAGAATATTTTCTATTTGCTATAATTATTAGAATACAATGAGATTAAAATCATTTATTTTAAATGATCATAATAGTAAAATTTTCTCAAATATCTTATTAATCTTAAACATTAATAAATAAAATAAATTTAAATATAGGATATAAGTTTACTTTATTCAATATATTTAATCAAATGAAAACATATGTGATAAATAAATAATGTATTTTAACTTAAAATGATCACAATAAGTTAACTTGCAAAATAATATAAGTAATAAATTAATAATGTATTTTATTTAAAATAATCACAATAATAGAATACGCAAATAATGTGTTTTATTTTTCGGACTGATATAGTTTTATTGATTATTTAATTTTAAATACTACCATGAATATAGTATTTAATCTATATTTTAGAACTCACATAATTATAAATATAAAAAATATTGTTTTATTACCCATATTTTTATTTAATTAAAAAAAATAAAATATAAATTTATTATTTGTTTTTCATTTTCGTTTGATCTTTTTTTTATTTATAAATTTTTTGCATATTATATACTGTGCTTACTTTAAATAAAATATATTATTTATTTTATTAAAAATATTAAATAAAGTGAAATAATTAAAAAGATCAAACAAAAATGAAAAATAAATAATAAATTTATATTCTTATTTTTTTTAATTAAATAAAAATATGGGTAATAAAACAATATTTTTTATATTTATAATTATGTGAGTTCTAAAGTATAGATTAAATACTATATTCATAGTAGTATTCAAAATTAAATAATCAATAAAACTATATCAGTCCTATAAATAAAACACATTATTTGCGTATTTTATTATTGTGATTATTTTAAATAAAATACATTATTAATTTATTACTTATATTATTTTACAAGTTAACTTATTGTGATCATTTTAAGTTAAAATACATTATTTATTTATCACATATGTTATCATTTGATTAAATATATTGAATAATGTAAACTTATATCTTATATTTAAATTTATTTTATTTATTAATGTTTAAGATTAATAAGATATTTGAGAAAATTCTACTATTATGATCATTTAAAATAAATGATTTTAATCCTAGTATTCTAATAATTATAGTAAATAAAAAATATTCTGAAAATAATTCTCTATTTATAAAATTTTTATATTTTAAGTATAATATTCAAAAATTTACTAAATTGGTCTTTATATAAAATTAATAAATCTTAAATATTAATTACAAATTAAAAAAAAACATGAACCGGAAGACTTCCAAAAAGTCTTCCGGTAAACAAACGAAAAAAATATGTACTGGAAGACTTCTAAAAAGTCTTCCGGAAAACATACTAAAAAAATGTGAACCGGAAGACTTCCAAAAAGTCTTCCGGTAAACAAATAAAAAAATATAAAAAAAATTAAAAAATAATAAATTTTTATACGAGGATATTTTGGTCCAAAATTTTTTAATAGGTATAAGTGTAGGGGTATGGAGTAAAACTTAAGGTAAGAAGGATACGAAGATGGAGGAACAGCCCAAAGTGCATATTATTGTTGCCACTGATATGGAGATGGAGGTTGCTGCTGCCACCCCGAGCTTGGGCCACCGCGTCCACCATCACCATTGAACTGCGTGCCTCCGTGGTAGTTACACCCTCCTCTGTCGGAGCTTCGGCCTTTACCTCGGTTGTTGTTTCTTCCTCTGTTGCTGCTGCTACCGTGATTTCCATTGTTTGCGGTCAAATTTCGAGCAGAAATCGCGTCGGGAGAGGTGGAAGAGTTGTCAGATTTTGGGGTTTTCACGAGTAGGGCCGTCGGAGATGAGATAGTGTTGGATTCTCGTGCAGTACGTTAGGCCGTCGTCGATTCTTCTAATTCTAATAGCGATGAAATTTTGAAAAACCATAGAAGAAATTTTGAAGGAGATAGAATATTGAAGAACAAAAGGTCATGTTTAAGACACAAACATATGAAAAAGAGTGATGAAAATACTATTAAGTTTATTCTTCAAATTACATCACTAGTTTATAGCCAGATTTTTCACTAAATGACATTTGATTTATGGATTAGCCAATGCTTGGAGTGCTAATGACTTTATTAGATTCATCAACACACAATCGAACTCTTTTGATCCTATAATCAAAAGTAACAGCTGAATTAGGAGGCACCACTTGAATTTCAGCCATCAAAGTACCAAACTAAAGAGAACTTGAAAAAAAGGATATATTGGTGATCTCTGAAGAAGATGAAGTGTGAACATTGAAATATTTATCACCTAAAGAAGTTGATTCTAAAACGGCACCTCTTTTCGACATTTGGTTAACGAGACAATTAAGATGGTTTTTCCAATGCCATATGCCTCGATTTGGCGTGTTTCATAAGCTAACTTTGGACTAAATATAATAATTGTGATAAATATCTGCAAATACTTTATTTTTCTTTTTTAAAGAAGCCAGATAGTGTCATTAAAATAATAATCGAAAAACAAGATGTGATTAGAAAAATATAAAAGAGAAATCCTATTAGAAACAACAAAAAACAAAGGTAAAAAACATGCACAAAATACACGCGGCACCAGAGCACAAAGTACTCAATAAATCATCACACATTTACGAAGGTATATTTATTTATAATATTAAATGAGAACCACACATTATTTATTTAGGTAACACTTCAATTATTATTATTATTATTTTATATTAGAATATTTTAAAAATTGGATCAAACCGGTTCAATCAGATAGATTAGAAATTAGAGTTAAATTTGTTTCCATCTATTTTTTAAAATTGTTAATGAGTTAAAATCAGAGTGAAATCAAAAAAACTGGATTGTCCCATTTGAAACCGTTCGAAGTAAAGAATCAGAGCTGATATTGTAAAACCGTCCAATTAAAAAAATGTATAAAATTGGTCATTTTAATTTTTTTTTTTAAGTTTAATATTTTCATATCAAAACTTAAGATATCTTGTTTTTTCTAGAAATCGTACAAACTTTTAATTTCTATCATATCGTTATAGTTTTTTCTTTCAACCACCCTCCATTATCATCACGTTGCCTCTTTTAAAAATAATCAGGTTGTCCAACTCAATATTGTTTGTCATTATCGTTCAACTCAATATTGTTTGTCGTTGTCTAATAATGACTTGTTTGTCTTTGTTTAACTCACATTCGCTTTCTGTTGTTCATGTAGTTGTATGTCCCTAGTACATTTAGGGGGAGCACCCCAATACGATTATTTTGTTACGTGTTTTATCGCTTCACTATGCCAAAAAAGACCTTTAGCAACGCTTTTTTTGGCCTTTAGCAGCGCTTAAAAGCGCTGCCAAAAGTGGCGCTGCTAAAGGTAAAGGCAGCGCTTTTTTATGGAAAAAGCGTTGCTAAAGGCTCCCTTCAGCAACGCTTTTAGCAGCGTTTTTTACCATATAGCAGCGCTTTTAAAGCGCTGCCTATTCCCCCTTTCCCTCCCTTCAGCAACGCTTTTAGCAGCGTTTTTTTCACCCTATAGCAGCGTTTTCCCCTCCCCTCTTTAGCAGCGCTTTTTAAAGCGCTTTCTTTGACCCCCCCTTTAGCAGTGCTTTTTTAAAGCGCTTTCTTAGACCCCCCCTTTTCCAACCTATAGCAGCGCTTTTTTGGTCTCTCTTTGCCCCTTTTAGCAGCGCTTTTTTTAAAAACGCTGTCTATTCTTCACGATTTAAAATTTTTTTTTAAAAAAATAATCACATTTTTTTTTATATTTTTCGATAAACCTGCTTATAACAATAACATTCCCTGCTTATAATTCAGGCCTTTAATTTAATAGTTTGACCTTATATATAACAATTACTTTGACCTTATTTATGTGTATTCATCACTTTGCCCATAACCATTTTAATACACATAAACCTGCTTAAATATATTACAACATCACAAATACAGTCAATTTACAACATCACAAATACATTCAATTTACATATAATTACAAATCCGATAACTTTACAAATAGATACGTTATACAATTCTCAACTCAAGAATAAATTGACACCAGTCCTCCTTAATTTCTTCCAATCTTGCTTTCGAGTAAGTACCGCACTTGTATTCATCAAAGTACTACATAATATAACAGAACATGCACGATTTAATTTTAAAACTAATTACTCAGATAAAATATCGATTAATTATCAAAATGAATCATATAACTTATGAATTGATCCATACCATGATTGGAATCTCTATTTGACCTGAAAGAATAATTTCCTTCATAAAGCGCAATACAAAATATCCGCAGTCAATCCCATTGCACTGACGAGGACAATGTAAATGGAAAAAACAAACGAACATTTATCAGGATATATAGTTTAAATAGTTTTATCAAGTAGAACCACTATAACAGTCAAACATGGGAAAATATACCTCTACTCTGATCCAGCTGATGTTTTTAGCCTTGCTTTTTGACACTGTTGCATCTCTTTATGCTCTGAATAGTTGTATAACTCTAACATAATATAAACACATATTTAGAACAATGTCACATAATAAATAAAGATATATAACTATTCAGAACAGTATATCTCATCACTTACGTATCAACCATATTCTTCAGATTAGGATATTTTGTTGTATCGCCATCCAATGAATCTATATAGTACACTATTTCTTTCATCGGATTAATTGCGACCAATAACCAGTGTCCACTATAAAATAAGACAACAGTTTAGACGAAAATGTTATATAGATTAATGGCAAAAATCGAATAATTATAATAAATGAATTTAGAATAAAATATAACCCATGGCCAGTATTATATGGCAACAAGAACAACTTCTCTGTAGTCGCGGTCATAAATCTTTGGACCATGTAATCTTTGACTGTATCTGGTGTGTGCTCTATTGCCCGTGCGTTGATATAGCTAGCAGATAAGAATGTGAATATGGAAGTCAAATCATGCGGGACCAACAACTTGTCATACAGGAGCCTAAAAGAAAAACATAATCAACATTAGAATATTCAGTTAAATGAGCAAATTTTAAAATGTTCAATTATTTAATTAAAATGGATCGGAGTACCTGATGTAGGAATGCATAACACCGACGCCCAATTCAAAATGTTGGAAAACCTGGTCAAAATCCTCCTTAGCAAGTGTTTTGGGATATTCAAAACCGAAAATACCTTCCTCCATAGGTATTTGACGGATGCCACCCTCAGTCACATCTGTTGTTCCTAAATATGTTTCAAGGCACATCCTAAATCGAGGAACAAATGCTTTTTTTGACTCGTTTTTTTTTTGTTGGGCACCTTGGAAGTTTCAGGCATCTTACTCTTGCTGACTTGTTGCAACTGCTGATCATGAACCTAAAAGTCATATGTAAGTTCAGTAATTAATGTATAATAAGATAACCATGTAACTGTATTAGTACCTGTTTCTTTGATGCAGCTGAATCGGTACCCGCACAATAATTCTATCATCTTTTGATTTGGATTTTGTAGGAGTCTAAGATCATCATGTAAATAAGAAAATGTAAATGTAAGAATAACTTTCATCTATGGGTCGTAAAACATTTGAATATTACAAGCTAGGTTCATAATGGTGTTCAACATACCTCATCATCTATGTGAATGAGATTTGCCGGCCATGCAACATACGCTCCTATTGCGTCTCCCACCACTGTTGCATCTAAAACTTCATTTGGTATAGGCAACAACGCACCCCCTCTAACGCAATATCAACCGATACTTTTAAAAATCCAGGAGGGAGCGGTTTATGGTGAAGTAATTCTCCCACATTGTTATGCATCTTTCCCTTGCCAACCAAGCGATAAGTTGGTGACGATAAATATAGCCGACAAGGTGAAATGGCCTAAACAAATAATGATGCCGATTAATGTGTCAATTAAGAAAATTGTGCTAAATTAATTTCAATGTAATATATACAATTACCTCTGGAAGCTTCTGCGGACAACCGATACTATCTTTTTCACTAGCATCTTTACCCTCTGGACCGTGCCTTTCCGACATGTATCTTTCTTTGTCCTTCTGTAATTTCCGAATCTGAGCTTTCAATTCCTCCAACGTATCCATCACTTCTTTATTGGTAGGAATTTTTTTCTTTGGCTTCTTATACAACTGTGATGGAGTGACGCCAAATCCCTTACCCCTCACACGCCCAGAATACTCAGGGATATTTAACACCCGACTCAGTATGCTCCTGCAATCCTCGTCCTCAGCTGGAGTTATACTCTGGGATAACGTCTCCTGAAATATAGATAAAAGCATATATAAATATATTATCAACTTTTGATCAGTCACTGACAAAACTAATGTTATACTTACACATCGTTCAAACACTTGTTGAACTTCTTCCTGAACGACTCCATCTCTTCCCACATGGGCAGCCTTCCACACAACATGGTCCGAAAGAGATGTCGCATCACTTTTCTCCTCTTCTATCTGCACATTAAGACGGATAATAAACCATTCATATCCTATTATATATACTTACTAATTTTGGTAACTATATCATATTAAAGCATTTATATATACTTACTATTTTTTGTTCTAAGCGTGCATATCCCAAACGCCTTTTTTTGTATGGATACGCGGGTTTTGATGCCCGTTGCCGATTAACGCCACTCACAACCTGAAAAAACAAGTTTAAGTCATATCAGAACTCTTGTGGAAGAAGTAAATATACTATACATTATTTATGATAAGTTGTACTTACTAAAAATTCTTTGGTTCTTCGCTTCGTAACAAATGTCTCCCATTCTTCTTCCGAAATCAGATCAGGGTACTTCTTTGGATGCTCCGAGTCAACAAAGTTTCCATCAGAATCTTTGAGAAACTTGTTCGTTTAAAACGCTCTGAATCTCCTCAGTCGTTTACCGGCCAATTGAAGACAATATTTTCTTCTGCAATCATCAATATTAAAAGATCTCTGCAAACAAATATACATACATATAACATGTTAGTATAATTAATTTAAAGATGTAACCGTCAACATAATTAAAAAATAATCAAGTATCATACCTGTATCTCGCTCCAAATTTTGTCTTTAGCCGGTTGTAGCGACTGAATTCTCCAATTATCGCAAGTAATCGGAATTTGCGAACGTACAAGTGCTCCAATGTAACTTGTCAGCATCGCATCGTTAGGCTCAACTAACTGATCTCTTTCATTCCAATGCACATCATACTTAACACCCTTATCTCTC